ATTAATTCGTGAATTATTATCAAGAATATTTCTTTATTGAAAGCCGTCACAACCCAGCAATTAATAATGTATGTTTGTAGTTTCAAGTAGACTTTACTACATGTTTCGGCTTTCAAGAAGGCATCATCAGGTAAATACACTTGAAAATTTCTTTAACTTTGAGTTGCTTCTTATTACATGGTATAGTATTAACTTTTTCAAATAGTTAAATACATAACAGAATGCATTCACTGCAAATTATAATCACGTAACTATAGCCATGTCCACACAGAAGTTTCCGACATATATGAAACAGACATTTATCACAGCCACGTTTAAGAAGAGCACATTTGCTGTGACTGCAAAATTAAAACTGTTCTGTCACATGATGGTCGTAAATCCGTGCAGGATATATCGGCATATTTGCAGATTTTATTATAGTCTACAGCCGATCACAGTGACCGCGCAGGCATCGCCAGCTCGAACACTGGAGTCGTGGGTTCAAATCCCACTCGAGGCATGGATATTTGTGTGGGCCGCACCATAGCTCAAGCGGTTAGTCCCTGGCTTCCCAACGCGGCGGCCCGGGTTCGATCCTGGGCCTGCTCAAGTGGGATCTGTGGTGACCAAAATGGCGCTGGGGCGGGTTTTCTCCGAGTACTTCGGTTTCCCCTGCCAATCTTCATTCCACTAAATTCTCCATCATCATAATCACCCGGGGGTAAGTACAATTGGCAAATCTGCCGCCGTGCCGAGTGGACGCAGTTGGACTCCACCTCCGAATAAGCGATTCTGTGTTTGTGTTGTTCTCTGTGTAAGTAGCGGCTTTTCGACGGGCTGATAACTCACCAAGGAGTCCTACCGACTGTGTGAAGGATTAAGAAACTGAAAGAGCGCCAAGTTCAGAAGGGCTATAGGGTCGCAGAAGGAAAAAAAGAAGTAAGAGAAGTGCAGTCCTGAGGACTAAATGAAAAGAAGGGCTGAAAATGTGGGTCCGCGGAGCACAGTTTGGGAACACTTGCACGATAAGTGTAACCCCTCATCAAAAGTGACAACAAATTTCCGTAGTCATTTCAGTCTCGTACAAACACGTGCAGCAGCATTAAGTTTCGGGTATCAGTTTAATTAAAGCACAATCATTTGAGCAAATAAAATTTAAGCATGAAGTTCTTAAAACAGCTTCGGGCAATTTCACAATTTTGTTCCTACTGAGCCCCTTGATTAAACATTTCCTTTGTATTGAGATTATGCAGTGCGGCGCACAAAACCAATGTAAATGTTCGGATCTCTGTTCGTAATCTGAACCCTAAACTCGAAATAAAATATAAGGGTGTTGTGACGACAATTTATTGGTGTTTCAGAAATTATAAACTCAAGATCCTATATACCATCACGCAAGGTAAAACATTAATATCATATGAGAGTAAAGTACAATGAATTTAATTTACATTACCGGCAATTTACATGTGGCCTCTCGGTCGATCGTCCGTGTGTAGGAAACGCAAGTTCGAATCCTGTAAAGGGAGTACATGCTATGTCTGCTGGTTTTCTGTTCTTGTATATGTTTGTGTAGGTGAAGGACTTGGGATGGAATGATTACCCGTTTAAGGACTCTGTTAATTATCTGTATCATTAATATCTTCAGAAGTTGGTTCTAATTTAGATCAGACCGCAGGACATAATCCGTTAAACCTTAAGAAGAGCTTATTTATTTCATCTAATGGCGTTTTTTTTTCCAAAAGCTCAGCGTATATTACTTTGGAGAGCCACTACCACTGCAGATATTGATTTCTTTCTTAGTCTTTCATTCTTCAGTGAATTCGAACTTCTCAGCCTCATGTTCTCCGTGAATAGGACCATAAGGAGGATTATGGATTTTGCGAAAAGAAATACGAGCCGCATGCACAAGAGTTCTCCACTAGTCCCATTCCTCGGCCAGATGAATTCATTCAACATCCTCATGTCTGTATGGGATTGACGCGGACAAGAAATATTTCAACTTCTACTCCGGTATCGCTTTTTGTGCAGGTCCCTCCAACATCATCTTTAGTCGAAATTCGTTTAGCCGTATATCGAAGACGAAACGCACAACTACTGTCAGAGAGAGAGAGAGAGACCCACAATGACGCGTTTATTATAAGCATTTTGTGCGGCATTCATGAGAATTAAATGGAACGGACCGCTCTTCTCTACCGTTGGTATATACGAGGGTTGGAACTTTAATAGTGGCAACTATTTATTTATAACTGATACAAAACAGATGCATGTTTCGAAGTTTTACTCTCCTTCACTGTAGTCACCAGCATTGTGTACAACCCGTTGCCAGCGATGTGGAAGTCGTAGGATACCTTTAGCAGCGCCTATTGTGTTGATAGCTCGAATAGAGCGTCTACAACCTGAAGAATCTCTGGAGCAGTTCTGAAGCGAATGCCACGAAGTGGTTCCTTCATCTTAGGAATCAAGTCGAAGTCACAAGGGCTTAAGTCCGGGGAGTATGGTGGATGGTACAGCACTTCCCAACCCCATCCAGCGAGCAAATCAGCCACAGCTTGCGCTGCATGCGGCCGAGCTTTGTCCTGCAAAATGATGGGTGAGTTCTGCAGAAAGTGTCGCCGCTTCTTTCTCAAAGCTGTGCCGCAGGTTGTGTTCAAAAAATGAACAGTAATACTGCGCATTGACGGTCTGCTGTCTGGGAACGGTATGCGTTATGATAACGCCATCACAGTCGTACACGAGAATCACCATAACTTTCACATTGCTGGGGTTCTGACGAACTTCTGATTTTAATGGTGACCCGTAATGACGCCATTCGTTCGATTGGCGTTTCATTTGTGGCTCGTACGAGAACGATTTCGCCCATGTCTTATCCAGCGTAATGATACGGCGTTAGAAAGCCTCTCCTTCGCGCTCATAGCGCTCCAGGTGGTTACGAGCAGCGTCGTATCGTAGCCATTTCTGCATTTCCGTCAAATCATGCGGAACCCATCGTGATGCAATTTTTCTCATGCCCAGGCGTTCCTTTAGAATATGAAGCACAGTCGTATGCGCTAATCCTGTCTCTTGGGCCAGCTCACGAATCGTATACTCTCCAGTAACGCGGAAAGAGCATACACTTCTTCTCCACTGACACTAGGATGACCTGGCCGACGCATGTCTGCCACATTTTGGCGTCCCTCATTGAAGGGTTTTACCCACCTTGCCACTGTTCTGTAAAGCAATGCAGATTCCCTGCAAGCCTCTTGAAGACCTTGATGACACTGTCGTGCTGTACGGCCTCTGGCACATTCAATCTTTATCCAACTCCGTTGTTCCTGTTTCGAAAACATGGCGACAACACTACATTAGACCGCCAGCTAACAGAGGACTCTGTTCTTTTCGTCACTGCGCATGCGCATGATGTGGGAAGGGAGAGTTTATTTGCCCTGAGGTAAGGTAGGTATGTAACTAACGTGTGGCATAAGCGGCATTATTTGGTTCCGTTGCATGGCGTCTCTACAGCAGTGTTGCCACTATTGAAGTTCCAACCCTCGTTTAAAGTAAAAGTAAAGCTATCCCTGTACCAGGCCGTGAAGGCCCATAGGTTTGTGAGACGCTGAGGGTCCCACATTATCCAGACAATCGGCTCAAAGGTGGCGGTAAGGTTTTCAGCCTTACGCCCCGGCCGCGCCTTACTCCCCAGGAAAATTATTTAGTTAATTCCTGGTACTCGTTTCTGTTAGAGGCTGAGTCGACCCCAGGGCCATAGTGTGGTTGGAAGTATTAAGTCAACTGAAAAATCCAATGACCTCATCAGGACTTGAACCTGACCTTGACCTTCAGGCTTGTAGCATAGGCCCTCAACCAACTACACGTGCACTCCCCCCGGTGATATATATATTCCTTGGCACTACAGCCCCAGTGGGCCTAGGCCTACCTCCATGTACTTCTCCGTTCACTTCGGTTTTTCTAGATCTTACGCATTTGGTAGGACTCCTTGGGCGGGTGATCAGTTCGTCGCAAGGCCTCTACCTGTGCACAGATACAAAAAACGCTCACACACAAATTAAACATCCATGCCCTGAGTGGGATTCGAACCTACGATCCCGGTTTCCAATTTAACTTTATTCAGTTTGTGTAGGGTTTCCTCAAAAAAGAGGAAACTTTGCAACAAAACACACCACTACAAAAGCCCATGTGATCCGGTGATTAAAGCTTGTAGTCAGTTTGTGGTGTTCCTCCATGAGGGAAATGTTTACACCGGGAAACTTATAAACTTTAAAACAGAAAATATTTAAATTTCCATAATAGTGGTACGTCTTCAGTCGTGGAACTTAAGAGAGAAGCCGGATATTCTTCAATATAAATGGAGTGATATGCTAGGAGTCACTGATCCACAAAACCTCGTTTCATAGTGAGGATTTTTCCATCCTGGGACTACCAGCATTTTTCATTTCAGACTGTCGTTTGATGGGTTATAATGTTTACGGTTTGTATAGCGTTGTTTATAATGTTCTTGTTATAATGCTATTAATATATACAAATTCCCTTTAATTCTGATGTTTTCTAGGGTAATACCATACTACCTTTCAATATAGCGTACTTTGCATATTTATTTTGTTTCTTGTGATAAAGTTCCTTAAAATTTTAAGTAATTTTAGCAAATATTTTAAATAAGTGGTGTATAAGCGGATATATCGCACCAAGATTAATTTTTCTTTGCTTTTTATGTGGTGCAATGTATCCTAAACCCACGGGAAACATTGCTCCAAAGTTTAACAGTAATACACGATACGAACTCAAGCCAAATCAAGAATGGGTGATTCCTTTAGAAAGGGCATAAAATAGGGAAAAATTGCGTATTTCAGTGAATACTATAAAAATATGGATACCAGCTTACAAAGTTCTTAAAAACTGGAGCAAACTCACCCAAAGTAAAGACATTTCTATGGTTTTACTTGTCTTCTCTAAACTTAATTCAGGCGTAATGAATTTATCCAAAGAAATATCATGGGTTTAAATATAAAGTGCCTGATATTTTGCAGGTCGCCCCACACCGCGAGTCACGTGGTGGAGAGACGGCATTGAGATCGACAACTCCGACGAAGCACTCTCAGAACGCCGCGTTAAAAACGTTCTGCGTCTGGAGAACCTGGAGCGGCGTCACCTCAACACTGTGCTCACGTGCAAGGCGTCTAACAATGACATGGTCAGCCCTCTCAGCGCTAACATCACCCTCGACATGTACCGTGAGTACTGACATTCGTGTCTCACACGCACTCGTGCATACAGAGGCGTGATCCCAACCGTAACCTTCCTCCTGCCACAGACGAAACTGGCTGCACACGATACTACGAGTAAGGTCGATGCTCGGCCACGCCATAGCTCAAGTGGTTAGTCGCTGGCTTCCCATCGCGGCGGCCCGGGTTCGATCCCGGGTCTGGTCAAGTGGGATTTGTGGTGGACAAGATGGCTCTGGTATCCCAGAAGATACAAGTCTTCGTAACTGCGGCTGTGAGAACCTTAGATCCCATACAGCTAAGCGTCAGTACCTAGAAGCAAATCCCATATAGCTAAGCATCATTCCCTAGAGGCAAATCTCATATAGCTAAGCGTCAGTCCCTAGAGGCAAATCCCATATTGCTAAGCATCAGTCCATAGAAGCAAATCCCATATAGCTAAGCGTCAGCCCCTAGAAGCAAATCCCATATAACTAAGCATCAAGCCCTAGAAGCAAATCCCATATAGCTAAGCATCAGTCACTAGAAGAAAATCACATATAGCTAAGCGTCAGTCCCTAGCAGAAAATCCCATATTATGGTTTATGCTGACCGTCTTGCAGTGTATACACTTTTTCACCTTATTCTTCACTTCCACACTACATGTTTCAGCACTAATGTGCCATCTTCAGTAAAACGCATGCAGTAACAGGAGCAAAGCACAACACAGAACCCGATACACAAATATACGTAGGAAGAATGCACACATAAAAGAGAATTGGCGTAATTCGCGTGTTTGAGTGCGACGTAGCAAGAATCCTGAAAAGTTTCATTATTTAGAATTCATCGTCCTATATGACAAATAGAGATTTTAGTCATTTTAGAATGAAGACATTATGGCATGCAGTACAATAGTTTGACGTGCATAAAGACACCTGAAGATGGCACATTAATGCTGAAACATGTAATGTGGAAGTGAAGAATAAGGTGAAAAAGTGTATACACTGTAAGACGGTCAGCATAAACCATAAACATGAATCAGTGTAACAGGACGCTAAAATATAACATTATAAAATCCCATACTGCTAAGCATCAGTCCATAGAAGCAAATCCCATATAACTAAGCATCAGGCCCTAGAGTCAAATCCCATATAGCTAAGCGTCAGTCCCTAGAGGCAAATCCCATATAGCTAAGCGTCAGTCCCTAGAGGCAAATGCCATATAGCTAAGCGTCAGTCCCTAGAAGCAAATCCGATATAGCTAAGCATCAGTCCCTAGAAGCTAACAGTCACTCAGCTAACAAATATTCTCCGAATTTTATTGAACATGATCTTTCTATGCCGTGTTCACTAGGGCACGCCCCTGGTGACCTACACCAGTTAATTTAATTATATCCAAAAATAAACATTTCCACCAGATATATGCCACGCTGCCTCTGCCGATCCTTCTGCTACTGACAGCGAAGCTCACAGATTTTCCTCACCTCCCCAGATGTTATATTTCCTCCTCCCATGCGCCGGCCAGTGAACAAGGAAACTGTTCAGAAAGGATTATAAGCAATTGTATGTTCAGTTGCTGTTAAATATATTATAATACTACTTCTGTATTTCAGCATCCTGTTGCACATCTTTTTTAAACGCCTATGTATTAAGTCCGTCAGTAATGCAAAAATGCCGAAACTGACGGTCTGGAACACACGCATCACACAGCTTTCAACAAGTGGACAACGCCCCTTACGAGGTGGATATGATTTTACGAAATATTTTAATTTAATAGACTGCAACACGCAATTTTTACGCGCATCAAAATAGTGTAACAGTTCAGACGCACTGAAACACCTGAGGATGGCCGTCTGTGGCCGAAACATGTCGTGTTAGTGTTAAATGGTGAATATTTTAATGACTCTTGTATTATTGACGGACTAAATACTTAGGCGTTTAATATTATAATGTTTTTGAGACATTCGTATTTTTATTTCTCAATACTTACATGTCATAAACTGCAGAAGTTTTAAGTATAGTAAATCCCTTAACTTTGCATGTGTTTACAGTTATGCGAATATGTGTTTGAATCGAATAAATGTCATGGCGCGGAAGTGGAAAGATTTAAACCATCAGAGGAATACACATAGTAAGATCCCACATGTAAGAACTTGCCATGTGTTAATGTAAGGCGCGTGAATCACCTGATGATGCCAGTATAATGAAGTGGCTGCAGACTGCTCTGTATGTTCCGGAGCATATGACAGTTTTAGAAAAATGTTCGACGTTTGGTGCTGGAAATAAGCTGCTTACCTTTCCGAGAAAAATGTACTTTTTCCCGCCTTTTGGAATTTTTACGAGATTATTTCTAAGAACATTTTCGCATGAAAGTCTGTCAACAAGAAATAACGTAAAATTCTTTGTGTTTCATCAGCTGACAGTATTAAATATTGAAAGTTTACGACAACATGAAAAAGAAAAAATTAAGTGTGAGCTGGAATGTAACTTACATTTTTTCCTTTCCATTCTGTTAAATTCTGCGTTATATGTATATCAGTTATCCGCGTAGCTGTGCTAACAAAATAAATTTCACATTGAAACGATCCTGCTGTTTCTCCCTTGCGTCTCTGCTACCATAGTCCAGAGCAGTTTCCTTTTAGCCTACTTTCTTTATTTCGAGAAGATAAAGCAGGCTTGTGAAACCATCTTATTCTCTGTGTCTGTCCCTCTCTGTCTGTAGGTGAATACCCCCCCCCCAGTAACTGTTGAATGCCTGAACAAATCTTTACGAACTTCATATAAGTATCAAGGTATTTGAGTCTATCTCGACAGCATACTTCATAATTCCTCTTATCAGTAATACCACCATCGCAGGCTCTAAAATTGTTGCAGTCGTAACCTTAATACACGTGTTATTGTAATTCCCAGACAGATCATCATGAAACTTGGTATGTATTTCATGCCACCTGAGCACTTCTCAGCGGCACACTTCATAAATTTCGCCCATTAGTAATACCAACATTACAATCTCTCAAATTACTGAGGCAAACCTTAATACTGTTTGAACACCTGTACCAATATTCGTGAAACTTGCAGTGTGTATTCTGCAACATGAAGAAATCTTAACGGCGTAAGATACACGAACAATGCAGCCTTTCAGATTGTTGCTAAGGTAAAATATATAAAACGTTTATCCCACTTATCTTTTCCAGTATTCAGTTTACAGCGAAGGGAAAGCAAGCGATTGGCTATGCCCAGATTTTTTTATAATAAAGTGAAATTCATATATAGTAAAAATTCTGCACGGCACAGTCATGAAGTGAAATCGCCTGTTTCTGAAATATACCACTGAAATCAATTACTTATATTCGATCCAAAAACAGTAGTGCCACACTTGTAACATACAAACAAAGCAAATATACCAATACTTATTTTTTAAAAAGATTATTTTATAAAAAATTATAATTTAATAAGTGTGATAAATTGTGATGATTAAACAGGAAAAAAAAATATTTTGGCACGAATTTGTCAAATAATCATAGAGAAAACTTTTAAATTTAGCACTTTCATTCTTTTATCTATCGCGTAGGGAATTTTTAATTCTAACGAGTTACATCACAAAAAAAAAAACAGAATAATTATTAGTATTTGATTTCATTTTGGCCGAACGTTTTGGAAAATATGAATATCCACATACACAGCGATTTATAGCATCTTTGGTGTAGCTTATGTTTTATTTCAAAAACATTAATTCGGGTTTGTCATAATGTTCATATCCATTCCAGAATTATTAATTATTTCGCAATCTCGAAGCAGCTGTTAGGACAGACTTTAACCAATCGTTGTGTTCAATTTAATTTAACAATTAAAATGTGTCCTTCAGAGACAAGTAAATTGTTTTATTTTCACCGAACTAGCCGCGAAGTTCTCTCTAGAAAATGAATTTAAAAAAAAAATATATTAAGAAGACAAATATTCTGGAGTGTCGTATATGACGTCGGGTATGAATCTGTGGTGCCAGAAGAATGTTTGGAAGAAACAGTGAAACTTAGAGCTCCGTGACACCAGACAAACATAAATGTATTTGTTTGTGTTTTATTTAAAGATTCTCAATAGCTCAGATTGTATATCAAAAATTACTCACTTATTTTGTTCTGTATGTTAAATGATATGATAAAATATTTTGATTAAATTTGGATTATTCGTGCTGGAACGTGCTGTAGTTGCTACGACAGAATGGCTGCGGTTACGAATACTGCGGACAGAGGGTTTACTTTGCGGTATTCTGATAATTATTGTTGTGTCCAGATATGGTCTGAACACGAAGTTGTGTTTAATTAACTTGTTGTTTAACACTTCGTGTTATGGTAATGTTAATAACGTTGCCGCTGTTGGCTCCATAATTTACTTAATTATCCAAATAATCAATTTAGCTCTTTAAAGCACAATGGCCTCTATATGCACCAACTTCTTTAGAGTACTGGAACTCTGCAATTTGTCCACAGAGTGTATTTGTGTGTTCCATATGGAACAATATATAGTGATTTTCCTCCTAAACAGTATTAACTCTTCTACCTTTGTAGTAACTGTACTATAATGTGTGTATACTTCTAGAAAAATGTCCTACTCTAAATAAAAAATAAAAATAAATAAACGAAGAGTGCGGATGATTCTGCACTCCGCGTCATTCATAAACCCAGAGTGAGTGGATTATCAGGGATGAATGATGAATTTTCAGATTTACTGTTTTCCTTTTTTATTCTTTCAGTTTTCCATCCCTGTGTGTCTACGCTAATGGAATTAAAAATAAAATTGATATTAATTTTAATTTTATATGTACTATTTATTATAAATGCCGGTCACGGTAGCCGAGCGGTCTAAGGCATGTACTGTCTTCGATCGCTTGGAAACCGGGATCGTTGGTTCGACTCCCACTCAGGGCATATATAGTTAGAAAGATATCTTACCGTCATAATGTGTGTGTGTGAAATTTCGTTTTTTTAATTCCGTTACCAGAAGGCGTAGTATATTTTTCGTTTCATGCATGTT